TAACGAGCACTTAAGAACAAAATAAAAGAACATCTGGTGTGGTGGTACATGCCTTTAATCCCAGAGTGAGCTACATAGTGAGTTCAAGGCCAGCCTAAACTGCATAGGGGAAACCCTGTCCAAAAAGACAAAAACAAAACAAAAACAACAATAACAACAGACCAATGACAAGTAAGGAGGTTAAGTTAGTAATGATTAGAAGGAAGGAAGAAATGAAAGAAAAGGAAGGAAGGAAGGAAAGAGAAAGAGAAAAAGAAAGAAAGAAAAGTGCAGCAAGCAAGCAAGCCAGCCAGCCTAGGACTGAATGGCCTGACAGCTGAGTTCTATCAAACATTTGAAGAACTGATGCCAGCTCTTTAGAAGATTGAAGTAGTGAGACTTTCCATATTCATTTTATGAGGTTAGCTTTATTCCAATAACAAAGCTAGATAAAGATACTACAAGAAAAGAAAATTGTAGATTGTTATCCCTGATGTTCACAGATGCTGAGGCAGGAGGACTGCAAGTTCATGGTTTGTTGGATAATTTAATAAGACCTTGTCCCAGACAAACAGCTGAAGATATAGTTCCCCACTGGCAAGCATGAGGCCCTGAGTTCAGTCCCCAGTACTACAAAAACTGTATATTAAAACTGAAAAACCTAGGCTGGGGAGATAGCTTGGCAGTCTAAGCACCTGACTGGCAAGTGCAAGGACCCGGGTTCAATCCCAGGTACCACATGCCGCACCAGCCCCATGCCAAGCTGGCACCAAGACTGGGCATCATGGTGCATGCTTGTAATCCCAATGCTGGGGAGGCTGAGAGAGGAATATCATTACCATTCTGAGCTGTGTAGTAAGACCCTGTACCAAAGAAAGAAAGAAAGAAAAAGAAAGGAAGAACGAAAGAAAGAAAGAAAGAAAGAAAGAAAGAAAGAAAGAAAGGAGAGATTAATCCCCCCAGAAAAACCTGATGAAATTAAAGAAACACAAATAAATAGAAATATATCCCATGTTCATGGACTGGGAAAATTAATACTGTGAAAATCTATATACTGCCTGAATTGGTCTACAGATTCAGTGCAACTCCTATCCAAAATTCCAATACCATTTATCACAGAAAAAGCAAAAACAATCCTTAATTCAAAACAATGAAAACTCAAAAGAATTGACTGGGAAGATATATCAGTGGCATAAGTGCCTGCCTTATAAGTACAAGGTCAGGGCTAGGGAGATGGCTCAGTAGAGTAAGTGCTTGCCTGGCAAGCACAAGGGCTTGAGTTCAATCCCCGGTTCTGCAAAAACAAAAAACAAAGCAAAACAAAAACCAAAAAACAAGTACAAGGAGTTGAGCCAGACAAAATGAAACAAAATAACCCAGAAACCTCAAATATGAATAAAACAAAAACAACAAGCCTGTCAGATAACTCGGCAGACTGAAGCCCCTGCTCAGGCAAGCTTAGGCAAGCCCAGGGACCGTAGGCAAGCACCACATGCCTTGCCAGTCCTACTCCAGGGCAGCTTGAGTTGGCTCCCCCCCCAAAAAAACACATAATGAAGTGATAGTAATCAAAACAGTATGATGGTATCATAGAAGACATACAGTAACAAATGGAAGACAATAGAAAACTCCAACATAAATCCTTATGTTTATGGTCCTGATTTTTTCAAAAGGTTCCCAGAACGCAAAATCAGGAAAGGACAGTTTCTTCCCTAAATGGTGTTAAGAAAATGGGGTATTCACATGTAGTAGAATGAAATTAAGCCCTTAAATCACAGCAAAGAAAAACTCAAAATTATTAAAGACTTAAATATAAGACATGAAGAAATGGAACTACTGGAGTGAAATAGAAAGGAAAAGCTTCCTGATATTGGTTCAAGCAATGAGGTCTTAGATATGAGCTGGAAAACACAGATAACCAAAGGTAAAAACAGACTAAATGAAACTCAACCAAAATGAAAAACTACACAGCAAAACAAACAACAAAACCAAGAGACAACCTACCTGAGACAAGAAAATACTTCAAATCATACTTTTGATCCTTCTCAACTCAGTAGTAAGAAATAATACAGTTGGAAAAAATGCATGAAGGTCCTGAGAAGACTTTTCTTAAAGAAAGAAGGCATACAAATGACCAATAGATATAAAAATTTTGTTCTGTATAATTTCAAGGATCATTTTTCCCATTTCTGTAAGAATGCCATAAGGATTTTGATAAAGGATGTTGAATGCCTAGGTAGCTTCGGGTAGTGCTGTGGTCTGCCTGTGTCCCCTGGAATTCATATGTTGAAACCTACTTGCCAGTGTGATAGTATTAAGAGGCGGGGCCTTTTGGAAATTATTGGTTCCTGATTTCTGGTCATCTTGAATGGGATTAGTGGCCTTCTAAGGGCCAGGGAGAAACTCATTAGTCCCCTTTGCCCTTTTGAGGTCTCTGCTATGTGAGGGTATAGCATTTGCATGCTCTAGAAAACACTGTCACCAGGCCCATCATGGAAGCAAGATGGTTTCCTTAGAAACCATGTGAGCACTTTGATTTTTTTTTTTTTTTTTTGCTTTTAGCCTCAGAACAGTGAGAAATAAATTTAAATTCTTTTTAAATTTTTTTTGTACCAAGGATTGAACTTAAGACCTTGCGCTTGCCAGGCAGTTGCTTATGCTGTTGAGCTATCTCCCCAGCCCAAATTTCAATTCTTATAAAGTACCTGGTCTCAGCTATTTTGTTGCAGCAGCACAAATGGAAGCACAGGCAATATGGATATATTAGCCATAGTAATTCTTCTAATTCATGAACCAGGTATCTTTTCATTTATTTTTCATAGTGACTTTGTCAATGTGTTATAAATTTCAGCAGATAAATTTGTCACCACTTTGGTTGAATTCATTCCTAAGTGTTTTATTCTTTTTTATTTTCTCTATTCTGTATTTGATTTATTTTTACTCTGACTTTTATTTTCTTTCTTCTGCTAACACTGAACTTTTTTTCCCTTTTCTTTCTTTTTTCTTCCTTTTCTGTTTTGTTGTGGTGAGAAAATAGATTATTTCAAATATTTTTATTTTAAAAATAGATGTTTATTGTTGCAAATTTCCCTCTTAGTACTGCTTTTGCTGTATGCCATAAGC